CGTAATCCATCAAATATTTTCGCTCGCGCGCGATTGGTCTAAACGCGTCACGTGACCGACCATTCCCCAGGGGAATATCCGAGCCTATTCCCCAATTTTCAAAACTGCGCGTATTACGAAAAATATTCGATCCATTCGACTTTGAAAATATGCTCGGATATTTGTCCGCGGACATTATTTGTTCCGAGAGGCGAACAGTTTTCTGAGAGCTTAGCTCGATGAAAACTGTGTGCTTTGAGGAAAAGATAATGTCCAAGGACAAATATCCGAGCATATTTCCGCGCCAAATGGAGTTTATTGTTTATATATCAACAATATTTCGTATTTTTCATACAAACAAAAAATCACCTTCATAGATGCCGAATTTAGTAAATATGCGTAGTTTCATGCAGTTGGCCAGTTTGGTTGCCCCATGGCATACATTCTTTGTAAAAATTTGGGGTCCCATGTTCCCAAGCGATAGCAACGGATTCTTATGAAACTTGACATATTTACAAACTTTCGCATGATACATCGAACGGTGAGGCTTTTTTTTCTTGTTTGAATGAAAAATTCGGAAAAGAGTGACATTGGTAAAAAGGTCTGTTTGTATAAGTAAACAAGCAAATGATTTCAAGTGTAATTTGGAATAAATAAGAACAAGTAACACATCCACTGAAGCACCCTGTCGTAATAATGTGGTCTGCAACTATTGGTCGAAAATTAAGTGTTCTGATAAACAATAACAGAAGCCTCTGACAATAACAATAGAAGGTAATAAGTTGTTCTCACGGGAGTAGTGTGGAAACCCGCCTTACGTTTACCTCGTTGATACGGTCACCTCGTTTTTACGGCCGCTTTTTTTGTCCCGGCGAAACGTCCATTCATTTCTTATAAGAAAAGCCCGTTAATGCGGCCACCCCCTTAATACGGCCAACGGCCAAATTCAAAAATCCCACCCTGTAAAATCCTTTAAAATTTTATCCCGTTTATACAGTCCCTCGAACCAATTATGCTCATCTTTCCAATTTTAATATTGTATGAACTGATTGCAGTTCCAATTTTTTATGTGCATATCTGAATCGTTTTGCACGGAGAGTCGTTTTGACACAGAGGCAAAAGGCATTTCGGAAATGGCCTATTATGATATATCTGTTTAAGACCAAGAGATAATCAAGATAATCTCTTGATTACGCTTAATAGTTACAATCGATCTAGCCTGTAAACATCCGCCCCTTCCGTCCCCACGAAAATGCAAAACCGACGCTTTTAAGTTCCTCCGGTTTGAAAGGCGTTTTCGAAAAGCTCCGTTTTCGTGACGGATTAGTGTGGACGGTAGGCCTAACCTTAGAAGTAACGCTGAGTTTCATATTTCTCTCGTAGTGTCGACGGCGTCTCCAAAGGACACATGCCCCGTCATTATAGTTTTCCACATCATTCTTCACCGCACTTTTGTTGATTAAGCTATTTTAAAACTTCAAAAACACTCAGCTGATCATCAACTTGCATTTGATGAAGATATCCACCACAGAGTTTGGAAATCTGACGTTTTGATCGCCAGCCCTTCGCCGGCCCAAAATGAAAGCATGTGCATGGATTTTTGTTGAGAAAGTTGAAATACCCAAAACTTTCGAGAGCGTCTTTGCATGAAATGTCTGTCATGAATTGTAAGTAGACGAGCTTATTCCTTAATTTTTAGCAAGAGTTACCTAAAATAGAGGTAACTTAGTCACTCTGTCTCTCGTTAATTACACGTGTTTTGCCAACGGCTTCTCTGATGTGCGTTGAAACAATAAGGTGGGCCGGGTTAGTAAAGTCGGAA